CAAGAAGACCTAGTCACTACGGATGACCTTCCCATCAGAGAAGACCTCACTCTTAGGTTGACTTTCTCTCCCGGAAGACCTAGTCCAAGAGAAAGGCCTTATCACAACGGATGACCTTCCCCTCGAGGAATACCTCACCCTTGAGGACGACTTTCTCTCCTGAAATACCTATTCCAAGAGAAAGACCTTGTCATTACTGATGACCTCCCCCTCGAGGAAGCCCCCACCTTTGACCTTGAGCAGATGACCTGCATTTAAAGATGACTTTCATTTAAACGATGACTTTCCCTTCAAGGACGAGACTCCATTAACTCAAAAGATGAGCTCTCATGGGAGAGGTCATTGGATCAGAGATAGCTCATCTCCAACTAAAGATAGAGCTTCTAGCTGAGCTCATCATCGTCTAAAGGAAAAACTTCCACTTGATAGCTCTTCCTTAACTAATGGGAGAACTTTCATCAATTAGCTCACCCCCTAAAGAAGAAGCTTTTGTCAGATACCTCATCTCAGCTACGGAGAGCTCTCATTAGACAGCTCATCTCAGTCAAAACGATAAGCTCACTTGAGACAGGTCACCCCGGCCTAAAAAAGAGTCACCACATAGCTCTACTTTGCCTTGAAGGACGAACTCCCATCATCAGATCATGTTCAAGTAAGCACGACACCCTACCTAAGAGTTGCTGACCTATACTCAATGGGGGCACCAAAACAGAAAGTACGCATGTCAAACCCTAAGTGCCTAGCTTAAGTCGAGTTTTAACTTCAAACTCCTAATCCAATCTCCAAGCTCAAACTCAGCATCTAGCTTAAGTCAAGCTAATCCAAGCTCCATGCGCAAACTTTCAAGCGCACAGCTTAAGTAGAGCTTTTCCAAGTTCGGAATCGAACTTTTTGGTCGAGCTTCTCAAAGTTCCCAACTCAAGCAACGTGCCATTAAGGTGAATGTATCTCCTAAGGCTAGATAGTAAACATAACCTAAGACTATAGCTTGCGAAGAGAGGGCTCACCTCAACCC